CCCGCGGCCGCAGCTGCCCAGCGCGCCGTTCTGGGCGCAGACGCAGTGTGGGCGCACGTGCGTGGGCGCGTGGCCAGTGGCACCCCCCGCACCCTGACGGCTTTTAGGTATCGCAAGCCCTGCCCGGAGTTTTGAGCTGGTAATAACGGGGGCATCGCGGGAGCACAGGACGCGGCACCAGGCGACGCGTGATGAACAGCGGTCCAGGGGGACAGCTGAGTCTGGACACCGTCGTGTGAGACTCGGTTTCTGGGCAGACAGGCTGCGTGAGCGAGCTGGCCGTTTACCTACACGGCGATCGTCGTTTAAAATCCCTGGTTTGGTAGTGGTGAGTCCCCGCCGTGGCTGGTGCCCGGCTTGCTCCGCCTCGAATCGTGTCCCGGTGTGTCCGCGGCCTATGACAGTCCCTGGGCAGCAGGACCTGGCGTGCTGGCTGGAGGTCCCGGGTCTCGGCTGGGCCTGGGGCTGCGACGCTCACGTGTTTCTCAGCGTTTCTGGACAGTGCGGTGGGACAGGAGGCTGCGTGCGCTGGGCTTGGTGTCCCCCTTTCCCAGGTCGGGGAGGCTCCCACGGGCTCTGGTCGGCTGGTTTGCCCGAGGGCAGGCCTCGGTAAGAAGAGCAGGCTATTCTGCCCCCACCCCCAGGAATCTAGAGAGTTGTGCAGAGTAAGGAATTAAGAAGTAAACCCTCCCAAGTGAGGACAATTTATTTTTAACAAAGATACAAGGATAATTCAGTGGAAAAAAGAAAGTCTTCAACAAATGGCGTTGTAAAAACCAATACCCATATGCAAAGAAATTAGCCTCACCCAGGCCTATACCATCGCCCCCGTGAGTCATGGACCAAAGTGTAAAACTGTGCAAGTTCTCGAAAGAATCATACCAGAAAATCCCTGTGTCCTTGATTTAGTTAAAGACTTTTAGATAATATACCAAATGCACTATCGAAGAAAAAAAATGGCTAAGACTTTGAATTAAAATTTCTGCTTTTCAAAACAAAGTTAATAAAACGAAAAGACAAGGAATATACAGAAGAACATTTTCAAAATACATATCTGATATAGGACTTATTTCGAGGTGATGTAACGAAATCTCAAAACTTAATAATAAGAAAGCAAAAACCTGATTTTAAAAACGGACAAGGGATTTCAAAATACTTCACCAGAAAAGACATAGAAATGGCACATAAGCCCATGAAAAAGAAATGCTCGGTGCCAGTAGTTGCAAAGGGAACGGAAGCGAGACACACCTGACGGGCGACTTAGCAGACAAAACCAAGCTGACAGCGCCAGGCGCAAGGACGCAGAGCCAGTGGGGCTCGGGCTCCGACTCCGCAGATGGAGGTGACGGGCGCAGTGACGCACGGCGACGCTGGGAGGCGTTAGGGAGCTTCTTACAAATACGCGCCTGGCCACGTGACCTGGCCGCCCTATGCCTGTCCCCAGGGGAAGTGAAACCCGTGTCCGTACAGAAGCTCGCACGCGACTGCAGCGGTTTTATTCGTCACTGTCCGGAACTGCAAGCACCGGAAATGCGCTTCGCCGGTGAAGGTATCCGCGGACACAGCCGCTCGAGGCGGCTCCCCTCGGCCTTAGAGACCAAGATCCCGGATGCAGTGCCCTCGACTGAGGGACCGGACTCGCAGGGCTGCCTTCTGCGCGAGTCTCACCCACGACGGTGTGCCGAGGCAAAGGCACAGGGACAGGACAGGTGAGTGTGCCAGGGCCACGGGGGTGGGGGGTGGGGGGGCTTTGGAGCGATGACTCTGTCCTACAGCTGGGCTGGGCTGGGGGTCACAACTTGGAACTGGACACGAAAATGGGGCGATTCGTTTTATATAAATTGTACCTCATCTAAGAGGACCCACGCGAATGACCACTACGCCGCTGTTGTAACTCGGCGACACCCCTTTCTCAGACTGCGCCCAGGCTCCCTGCTCCCCCGGGCGGGGCTGCCTGTGCCTCCCACGACTCCGCGCTGTTCGGCTACTGATGCCATGTCACTGGCCCGTCTTATCCCACGTTCTGGAAACGGACAGGTTTTCATCCGAGCTCCATACGGGGAGGCGTCCATTCTCCTTCCGCCTGCCGGGGCCGCTCGTCCGGTTACACCAGCTGCCAGGTCTCGTTGTCCAGCCTCGAACCGTGACAACCCGCACCAGACACTCACGCTCACCTCTGGAGCAAGACGACCACCGTTAACTGGACAGAGAGGCCAAAAGCTCCTCTCCGTCACTCTCCAGGGACTTGGGGTTTGCAGCTGGTGCTTGTTAGGTTCAGTTCTGAGGGACAGGAGCCCCCAAGAGGCAGTAGCTTAAATAAGGGGAGTCTATTTCTCTCATGCATACAAGTCTGGAAGGGAGCATGGGGCGCTGGCCAGGCGTCGCCCCGGCGCCTCCTCCCGACCAGGACGGAGATGCAGCTGTCAGGTCCGCCTTCCAGTAAGCAGGGAGGGGGACCGGAAGGGCGCCTCTCCCTGTAAGGCCGTGAAGCTGTCCGTGCTGCTTTTTACATCTCACTGGCTCACAGCCACCTAAAGACGGGGAAAGAAGCGGAGGGAGAGCTGCGGGAAAAATCATTGCTTTAGAAGGCGGTTCAGTCCTGAGCCACAGGGCTGGGGACACGGCCTTGGCGCCCCGGCCGGTCAGCACTCACCAGTGAGGAGGCCTCGGCCCTGTGTAGGCCATGGGACCTACATTCTGACGTAAGTTCACTCTGTGCCATAATTCCAGATTTATTTCTTCTTAACTATTGAGTTAAAGAGAATTTCGAATTGCCAGGTATTTTTCTAGGCCCAACGCTTGGAACTGTGAAGCGCTATCACTGATTTCTAATTAGACGGTATTAGATGTTTCTGTTATTTTAAAATTCCATGTGGCTGACTTTATTTCCTCTCTAGTACGTGAGCTTTTGAGATATGAGGGAAAGGAGACCATCATTTTAATAAGACACAATTCCTTAACTGACTTATTTGAAGAAAGGAATTGTTCCCAGGCGTCAGAACCGAGAAAGGCATTGCTGTGCCTGCTTCAGGAGGCCGAGGCCGAGGCCGAAGGAAGATTCAGACAAGAAACTAAGACACCGTGCGGTTCTTGGGGAGCAGCCCACAGTCTCAGCTGAAGGAGCCGTGCGCCCCAAAACGACCGCCTCAAACCTCCAGCGACTCATTCGCCGAGAAACAGTGTTGGTCCCAAGTCCGGTGCAACTCGGATAACTCGGATGAGGGGCGACGTCACCAGATTCACGCACGTGATAGAACGGCATTTCTCCCCACTTTTTAGTGACACGTTAGAGTCTCTCTAGCTGGGAAGTTTTTTAAAAGGAAGAAAAGCAATGTTCTATTTAGGACATTTATAGGAGTTCAGGTTTGGGTCAATATTGTCATAAAGTTTTATTTTTTATTTCTACGATGAACATATCTCTTGATTTTTCTGCACAGTATTGCACTATTGAGAGTACTTTTTCTTCAAGAGAAAATGAACTCTCAAATCCTCAAAGATAAAAACCCTGGAGAAAAAGAATTTGCTGAGAAGAATGCCATTATCCTCTTGCAGAGCCCTCCCTTTCTCTCATCCGCGGGGTCTCATGCTCGGACAATAACGCAGCCCAGTTTCAAGTTGAGGTGGGCGCTGCACAAATGCAGAGTGAGCGGGACACCCCCCTCCTCCAGTGCAAAGGTGGCTCTGCCCGCAGAGAAAGCCAGAACCCTAAAAGCAAAACTCAGAATTAAACGTGTTCTCAGTCCTGACTGCTTTTTAAATAGAAGCTTTCGACGCTATATTTTGGAGCACAGAATGAAAGGGGAGGAAAGTTTTTAATCAGTGCTGAGGACGGGTCAAGAGGAAACACATTTAAGCAAGATTAAACACAAAGAATCCCCCGCCAGCCAGTGTTATTAAGTAGGGGACATCTTACTTCGAGGCACTGGGAAAAGAGCTTTCTTTAGAAACCATCAGACCCGTAAGATGTGATCTGGCCTTTGGGAAAAGCAGACTTGATTAAGCAGAACTAGAAGGTCATAGCCCGGAGGCACTTTCCTCTCTGTCCAACCCCAGGAACTGTGATTCGACAGAAGCGAAACTTTCAAAATTAGCTTTGACCGTTTTTGTCCTGTTTTTAAATGTTTGTTTTGTGGCAGTAGCCCACGTCCACCCAGATGTCCAGCTCCTGGGCCCCAGTGTTTGGTGCGGAGGTCTGCGCTGAACGCCACCCCCTGCCCCGCAGAGATCTCAGAGCTGGACCGTCCATCTCTGATGTGGGCTCCAACGAATAGGAGGCCGGTGTTTGGAAAGTAATAACTTCTGATTATACGTGTTCCAAAATTTACTTGAGAAACGCAAAAAAAAGGAAATTTAGATTACAGCTATCCAATGGCAAAAAGATAAGTTCTGAATATTTTTCTCTCCCGGACGTGTGGTTTCAGTTTCCTGCATCACTCGGATATGCATATTCTCCACAAACGGGGGTCATACCAAGCATATCGCAATTTAAAAAATTATATATCCAAAAATATTTTAAAGGCCCATGACGTTTCGTTGTTTGTGGCAGCCCTAGTTCAGGCATCAGGTGGCCCCTCCTGGCGGACATGGGGCTTCCAGAGTCGCAGGAAGGGCGGAGTCCAGGTCCTCAGTAACCTGACGCCTGGGAACACAGTTTGTCTGACAAAGTGAAGGACTGAAACTTTATCAGGAAAAAGATGAAAATGGGCTTGGCGGACGTAGGAATCGCGGAGCCGGATCCAGGGGGGTGGAGCCGAAGGTGGCCCGCACTCTGCAGCTCACGGTGCCTCCCCCGTCTGGCGCACCCGCCGAATTGCCAAAACAGGCGTCAGACGCCGCTCAGGAAGAGAATGAAAACCCCAGACTGGCGACAGGCAGCCTGAGAGGGAATCTGGGCAGGGCCTCTAGTGGGTGAGGAGCAGGTGCCCAAGCACGTCGTGCGGCATACAGATACAGTCCGCACCCGCAGGAGCACAGGGGTCCCCTCACGTCTGCGGTCGCCCTTGGCCTGTCACCTGCAGCTCTGAACCGCAAAACCCTCCAGCGAAGGCCCGGCCCTGGACCCGAAGCCGCCAGGATGGGGAGGTGGCCGGTCTGCGCCCTGTTCCTGCTCCGGCTCCAAGGCGCAGGCCGCTGACGCCTTTGAGTCCGAGCATGGAGGAGGCGGGCGCGTTTGCGGTCTAGGCGCGTGAGGGCCCCGAGCGGGCTGGTGCTCGCCCGAGTCTGGTCTGCAGGGCCCTGGACGCGCGGTGCCGCGTGAACGCTCCCTCGAATGGGTCGGGGAGCGTGACGCCCGGGCCCCAAGCGTCCCGCCCACGCCCGCACAGGGCGACCTCCGCCCCTGGCGGCGCGCGTCCCCGTGGATAAAGCCTTCAGAGTTGGGGTCCGCCCCGGGACAGGCGGTTGTCCTTCCTGGGCTCAGGCCGCCTTTGTCCAGGGGGGACACGTGCAGCCCGGCGCCACGTGGCTCAGCCGCCGTTCTCAGCTCAGCTCGCCGTTCCTGCGACGTGACAGGGACTTCGTGGACAGCGCTGCCCCAACCCGGACCTGGGGACCCAGACCCCACCCGGCCACGGAGCGTGACGTCAGCGATTGCCTCATTTTGCTAGCGGGGTGACGTCAGCTACTGCGCCCCCACACCAACGGAGGGTGACGTCAGCTACTGCATCATCACACTGGCTGGACCGAAGGCCAACACAGGCGGCGCTGGAGAAGTGTTCGGGGGGTGAGTAAATAGGGGGTCGCCCCCAAATGTCTCGGTCCGTGAAGCGCCACTCGCCTGTGCGACGCTGCTCACCGCCTGCGTCCCCGCCCTTGCCGCCCGCTCACTGCCGTCTGCACGCGAGGCCCGGCGTGCGGGGGGCGGGGTGGCGTCCGCTGCGCGGGGCTGTCCCCGGGGTGGCGCGTGCTGGGCGCACGGTGCTCATCAGGGACGGTGTGGGTGGAGGAAGAGGACTGCGTGACTGCGTCACAGTGAGCCTGTAGCCTGTCCCCAAGGCACAGATGACACTGCTTTCTCTGCCGAAGCCCACATCGCCGACCGGCCTCGTGCTCGCTTACATCAGAAACTGGAAATGGTGCGTTTATGTCCGGAAGAGGACGCAGCATTTGGGCCTTTCCGAGTGGGGACAGTGGCCCTCAGGGTCACCGCCTCGGAGTCCTGTGCCCCAGGCTCCGCCCTCCGCCTGAGTCCCGCACAGCCAGCTAATCCCGCAGAGGCGGCCAGCGCTGCGCTCGCTTTTCATGAAGCGGAGGAAGAAAGGGTCCTTGAAGTCTAGGAAAGGACAAGCCAGGCGCCTTGAATGACATCAAAAGAAGGCGTTTTCATCGCTGTTGGTGCACGAGGGCCGCACCACACAAAGGGGGACAGCGCTGTGTCCCGGGACAATTGGGTCACTGCAATGGGGAATTAATTACCATCGGAGAGTGGGCAGCCTATTCAGCAGGGGCCGAGTTTTATTAAACGCCAATATAAATAACAAAACAGCTCTTGTGGCAGCGCTGT